CTCACGTACGAGGCAGGGCTCTAGCTGCCCAACGCGCTCGCTGCGCCTCCAAAGCCACCCGCGCGCCCGCGCACGCGCACGCACCCAAGCCTACCCGCGGCCCTAAGCCTTTCTGCGAGAGCAATGCCCGGCGCTTATGGAACAAGCTGGCCCGCTTTCAGAGGAAAAGGAAGGGAGGAAGGCAGGCAGTAGGTTTCCTTCTCGCCCCTTTCCTGCCCTGTGCCGGCACCTTCTTCGGAAGCCAGGCGCAGGGAATCCGAAAGGAGAAGCGAGTAGGCGACGGCCCCGGCTCCAACCCGGCCAGTAGCGGTGCACTAATAGCAATGCAGTGTGACAGAGACAAGGCGAGGTGGTTGTTGGGTCCTAAAGAGACTCAGTTTATCGGTGAACTCCAAAAGGAAGGGCTGGTCCTTAGTCCTTCACGCAGCATTTTGAAAAACTGAGAGCGGATCATTAAGAAGAGATAGTAATAATTCCCGGGGGGAGAGTACGATCTATTTCCCACCGACGCACTTCCTTTTCACGATTAGGCAATGTGAAGAAATTCCCATGGGATGCTGGGGGCCGTGGTGGCTGAAACCGTTTCTTGAACCCCAGGCATTGAACAGGAGCGCTTGTAGTTTTAATCGGTGAGGTTCTGCAAGCCAGTGATCACAGAGCTGGACCAGATGACATCATCTGTTCACCCACCCTTTCCCCCAGTTCCTCATCAGTTTAAAGTCAATTCTCACAATGCTGTGAAGAAATGAATTTCTCAACAATATATGCATGCGAGTTGTCCTGGTCATTGTGCAAGGACATATAGCCTGTCCTTGAATGGGAAATCAAGACCTGTTAGCTTGACAAAATATCTATTCCTGGTGGAGGTGAATATTGGCTATAATAAATGAGCACAACTACTTGTATTTTCTTACTCTCCTTGGGAAACTGGCAATAGAGACAGTCACAATGACCACCTGCATTTTATCATGCACTACTACAGCCTTAGATTTTGGCTGTGCAATTACTGATGGCAGTGATCCTGATGTAAGAGCCTCAGTCTACATTTTTTTTGAATGAATGAAGCGCCTTACATAGGCCAAATTCCCCACAGCTTTGTTTTAAAACTGGAAAACTATATGTATGCCACAGAAAATTGTCTTGGGACAAGTTGGACAAGACAACAACGGAAGTATAATAAAAAAGTAACAAATTATATGTAGAGCAGATATTTTTATTTATTTTGTTTACTGACTTATGTGCTGCTTTTCTCCCAACAGTGAGACTCTAGACAGACAGCTCACAAATCGTTTAAAAAGACGAATGGAAAACAACATACAAAAAGTAATTAAAATTATTAAGCAAGGAAATATTTAAAAATCACATGAAACAATTTAAGAAATATATACAAGCATTTAAAAACCCATTAAAAAGATTTATTGGCAGCACACGTAACACTGGTTATGTTAAAATGAGATAATAATAATCTCGAAACTGTAGCTGGGAAGAACCCTATGGATCATCAAGTTCACCTCTGTCATGGCAGAATTGAACTCCCAGCCTCTGGCTCTAAAATCAGATACCTAAACCACTGAGCTAACCAGCAGTTCAAATATTAAACATTAAAAACCTATTGGAATAAAAAGGCTTTCAGCTGATGCTGAAAAGAGAAGGGTGGGGCCAGCCTAGCATCATGGGGAAGAAATCTGATAAACTTGGAGCAACCACCAAGAAGACCTGTTCTTGGATCGCTGAGAAATGTGCCTGCAAAGGTGAAAAGACCAAAAAAGGGCCTCCTTGGATGATCTTCAGACCTGAAGAGGATTACAGTATATGGGACAATGTGATCTGTCATACAGCCTGGATCCATATCAAGAGAGTGAACCAAGCCATGGATTACAGATCATGCATGAGATGTTCTGTTGTGATGAAAGAACTTCACATGTACAAGATTTCCTAGAAAGTATGTGCCCATTTTAGAGACAAGAGTCCTCCATATCGCACGCTCACATTTACTGCTGCTGTAAGATGTTAAGTCCATATACGAGAAAGTATGTGCCCATTTTAGAGACAAGAATCCTCCATATTGCACACTCACATTTACTGCTGCCGTAAGTCCATATACAGCCACCATTATATTGGTGGCTTATGCATGTGTAAGCAAAATTGCCTAAGTTGTAGCAGCAAGTTGCTGCTAATTAACAAGGTGCAGTCACGTTCCTGGCTGCAGGCCTGTTGTGTGGCCAGGAATGCGACAAGCATTATGTTGGTTAGCAACAATTTGCTGTCATGTCTTATGCAATTGCATGTGCACATATATAAATAATCAACAAGACTCTGGCCTTTATATATACAAATGATGATCCATCTTGTGGATTCTGATTATCCAAATAGATGGTGGTGAAAATTACAACTACATCAGCATTTCACTACTGTCATTCTGTTCTGAGTAGTTCTTCTCTCCAAGACATTATCTTCTGAGGAATAGGCACCCGTCAAAACTGGCATTCTAGCTAAACTTTACCAAGTTCCAAAAATTGGTCCTGACCCAACACTTTGGGACCATATTTATGTGATATTGTAACAGATGAATGGTTTGCATCTGTTTCCACTCACTGTTTCCAATTTGCCCTCTGCTTCTATATTTGGCTATTTTCTCTTGGTCTTCTTTATTGTATTTTATTTAAAACCTTGCATTATATAACAACAATGTTCCAACACATATATTTGAATTATACTTCCTTTGCTGAGTCTTAGCATGCACGCACCAGCACCATGTTCTGACATCACATCTGTGTTAATTGTTTAGATACTGCAATTTGGATGCACTGCTTGCACAAGCAGAATTCTATTGAAAACACATTTCTTAGATATTCCACACATTACTTTTTTTTTAAAAAAAAGTAACATGGATATCTAGTGACTATGTTGTTTTCTGTTTTCAAGGTATAGATCAAGACAGTTCGAGAATATCTTGTTCCTATCTGCCCTAGCATATTCATGGTTTAAAACAAACAAACAAAAAAACCCCCCAGAACTGCATTGTGGTTAAGCTGATGTGACAGCACTGCCTGAAGATCTCTTCCCACATCTGCAATGATGTGGAAGGGTAAGAACCTTCCATCACATGTGCACAACAGACAGTGTGGGAAGATTAAGGGAGATATGATCGTGTGGGTAACCAGTTGAACTCTTAGTGTTCCATTTATTTACTTGATTGGTTGGTTGGTTTTTGTGCAGCCAGCTCCTTTGAGCACAATTTCTCCTGGAAAAATAGCATATACTGTACATCAAAATAAGATTTGTTCCAAAGTGGGTTATTATTATTTTTTAATACAAGAGCTTTTATAACATTTTCTGTGAATGATTGCAGAAGTTGCCAGTCCCTGTTCATTCCTTTGAGAGAGCGCATCAGGATTCTGGCCCTACCCATAGACATGGCAGCAGCTCTTTTTTACTCCCAAATTGGCTTCCTCTTACCCCTCACTAGATTTACTCTGCTGTCCTCAAGGACAGTGGAGGCTGCTCTCCTAGTAGCAGTGTTAAAATAAGATTCAACTGTCATTCCAGCCAAGTTCTCAGGCCCTTCTCCTCAGGCAGCACAGTGCATTGGGCTAGCTGATTAGGAGTAATTATTAATTATGTGCCATCAAGTTGTTTCTATTTATGACAATTGTTCCAGGGGTTTCTTGCTATAGAGTATCCAGAACCATTTTAAAATTGCTTGTTCTCTTGATGCTCTTGGACCCTGCAGTTTGTCCAAGGATACTTAGGTGGCAGGGCACTTAAGCCACTTAAGTCAGGTGCTCTCAAGGTGACCTCATCTGGCCTCTTTCCTGGCAGGCACAGTGGAGGTTCAAACTCCTGGCCCCTACCTCTGCAGACAGGCTGTCCAACCCACTGAGCTATGCTACAAAAGATTAGGGTAGAAAAAATGCTTCTTATTTGGATGTTTAGAGGTACACACATGAACACGTACCTCTGTAATCTCTTGGGCCCAGCCCTTAGGCAAAATAAGGCAGTTGCCTCAGCATCACATGTCAGGGAGATGGGAGGGAGTAGCAAAAGTTGCAAAACAGACCTACATGTTCCTTATGGCATGATTTACATTGTTCCCTCCAAACTAGTCTTCTGTCCTTGGA